GCACTAAGTTCTCTCGACATAGATTCAGTTGTGGACTTCATAGTAATCACACCAAAGCTGGTTTCGAATTGTGAAGTTAGAGAAGAAGTTATTGTAGGTGAGACATGTGGTGATGATGTAACACTTAACGATGATTTTGTTTCTTCTACGGTAAGAAATTCATTTGAACTAAGTGTTTTGAGTACAGATTCAGTTGCGGACTTCATAGTAGTTACAGTAATGCTAGTTTCCACCTGTGATACGGATATATTATGAGGACTTTCCGAAGTGAATGTGATTAAAAGTGAAGTGACAGAAGTTAGAAAAGAAGTTATTGTAGGTGAGACGTTTAGTGCTGATGTAACACTTAATGATGATTTTGTTTCTTCTACTGTAGATTCAATTGCACTAAGTTCTCTCGACATAGATTGAGTTGCGGACTTCACAGTAGTTACAGTAATGCTAGTTTCCACTTGTGATACGGATATATTAGGAGGACTTTCCGAAGTGAAAGCGATTAAAGGTGAAGTGACAGAAGTTAGAAAAGAAGTTATTGTAGGTGAGACGTTTAGTGCTGATGTAACACTTAACGATGATTTTGTTTCTTCTACTGTAGATTCAATTGCACTAAATTGTGGTGACATAGTTGCGGACTTCACAGTAGTTACAATAATGCTGGTTTCCAACTGTGATACTGATATACTAGAAGGACTTTCCGAAGTGAATGTGATTAAATGTGAAGTGACAGAAGTTAGAAAAGAAGTTATTGTAGGTGAGACGTTTAGTGCTGATGTAACAACTGACGATGATTTTGTTTCTTCTACTATAGATTCAATTGCACTAAATTGTGTCGATATAGATTCAGTTGTGGACTTCACAGTAGTTACAGCAATGCTGGTTTCCAACTGTGATACCGATATACTAGAAGGACTTTCCGAAGTGAATGTGATTAAATGTGAAGTGACGGAAGTTAGAGAGGAAGTTATTGTAGGTGAGACGTTTAGTGCTGATGTAACACCTGACGATTTTGTTTCTCCTACTGTAGATTCAATTGCACTAAGTTGTGTCGACATAGATTCAGTTGCGGACTTCACAGTAGTTACAGTAATGCTGGTTTCCAACTGTGATACTGATATACTAGAAGAACTTTCCGAAGTGAATGTGATTAAAGGTGAAGTGACAGAAGTTAGAAAAGAAGTTATTGTAGGTGAGACGTTTATTGCTGATGTAACACCTGACGATGATTTTGTTTCTTCTACTATAGATTCAATTGCACTAAATTGTGTCGATATAGATTCAGTTGTGGACTTCACAGTAGTTACAGCAATGCTGGTTTCCAACTGTGATACCGATATACTAGAAGGACTTTCCGAAGTGAATGTGATTAAATGTGAAGTGACGGAAGTTAGAGAGGAAGTTATTGTAGGTGAGACGTTTAGTGCTGATGTAACACCTGACGATTTTGTTTCTCCTACTGTAGATTCAATTGCACTAAGTTGTGTCGACATAGATTCAGTTGCGGACTTCACAGTAGTTACAGTAATGCTGGTTTCCAACTGTGATACTGATATACTAGAAGAACTTTCCGAAGTGAATGTGATTAAAGGTGAAGTGACAGAAGTTAGAAAAGAAGTTATTGTAGGTGAGACGTTTATTGCTGATGTAACACCTGACGATGATTTTGTTTCTTCTACTGTAGATTCAATTGCACTAAGTTGTGTCGACATAGATTCAGTTGCGGACTTCACTGTAGTTACAGTAATGCTAGTTTCCAACTGTGACACTGATATATTAGGAGGACTTTCCGAAGTGAATGTGATTAAATGTGAAGTGACAGAAGTTAGAAAAGAAGTTGTTGTAGGTGAGATATCTAGTCCTGTTGCAACACTTAACGATGATTTTGTTTCTTCTAGTGTAGATAATTCAATTGCACTAAGTTCTGTCAACATAGAATCAGTAGCCGACTTCATAGTAGTTACTATAATGCTAGTTTCGAATTGTGAAGTTAGTAAAGAAGTTACTCTAGGTGAGGTATGTGGTGGAGATGTAGCACTTAACCATGATTTTGTTTCTTCTACGGTAAGAACTTCATCTGCACTAACTGTTTTGAGTACAGATTCAGTTGCGGACTTCATAGAAGATACAGTAATGCTGGTTACCAACTGTGATACCGATATACTAGAAGGACTTTCCGAAGTGAATGTGATTAAAGGTGAAGTGACAGAAGTTAGAAGAGAAGTTATTGTAGGTGAGACGTTTAGTGCTGATGTAACACCTGACGATGATTTTGTTTCTTCTACTGTAGATAATTCAATTGCACTAAGTTGTGTCGACATAGATTCAGTTGCGGACTTCACAGTAGTTACACTAATGCTGGTTTCCAATTGTGATAGTGATATATTAGGAGGACTTTCCGAAGTGAATGTAATTAAAGGTGAAGTGACAGAGGTTAGAGAAGAAGTTGTTGTAGGTGAGACGTTTAGTGCTGATGTAACACCTGACGATGATTTTGTTTCTTCTACTGTAGATTCAATTGTATTAAGTTGTGTCGACATAGATTCAGTTGCGGACTTCACAATAGTTACAGTAATACTAGTTTCCAACTGTGACTCTGATATATTAGGAGGACTTTCCGAAGTGAATGTGATTAAAGGTGAAGTGACAGAAGTTACAAAAGAAGTTATTGTAGGTGAGACGTTTAGTGCTGATGTAACAACTGACGACGATTTTGTTTCTTCTACTGTAGATTCAATTGCACTAAGTTGTGTCGACATAGATTCAGTTGTGGACTTCACAGTAGTTACAGCAATGCTGGTTTCCAACTGTGATACTGATATACTAGAAGGACTTTCCGAAGTGAATGTGATTAAAGGTGAAGTGACAGAAGTTAGAAGAGAAGTTATTGTAGGTGAGACGTTTAGTGCTGATGTAACACCTGACGATGATTTTGTTTCTTCTACTGTAGATTCAATTGCACTAAGTTGTGTCGACATAGATTCAGTTGTGGACTTCACAGTAGTTACACTAATGCTGGTTTCCAACTGTGATACCGATATACTAGAAGAACTTTCCGAAGTGAATGTGATTAAAGGTGAAGTGACAGAAGTTAGAGAAGTTAGAGAAGAAGTTATTGTAGGTGAGACGTTTAGTGCTGATGTAACACCTGACGATGATTTTGTTTCTTCTACTGAAGATTCAATTGCACTAAGTTGTGTCGACATAGATTCAATTGCGGACTTCACAGTAGTTACGCTAATGCTGGTTTCCAATTGTGATAGTGATATATTAGGAGGACTTTCCGAAGTGAATGTAATTAAAGGTGAAGTGACAGAGGTTAGAGAAGAAGTTATTGTAGGTGAGACGTTTAGTGCTGATGTAACACGTGACGATTTTGTTTCTCCTACTGTAGATTCAATTGCAATAAGTTGTGTCGACATAGATTCAGTTGCGGACTTCACAGTAGTTACAGTAATGCTGGTTTCCAACTGTGATACTGATATACTAGAAGGACTTTCCGAAGTGAAATGTGATTAAAGGTGAAGTGACAGAAGTTAGAAAAGAAGTTATTGTAGGTGAGACGTTTAGTGCTGATGTAACACCTGACGATGATTTTGTTTCTTCTACTGTAGATTCAATTGCACTAAGTTGTGTCGACATAGATTCAGTTGCGGACTTCACAGTAGTTACAGTAATGCTAGTTTCCAACTGTGACACTGATATATTAGGAAGACTTTCCGAAAGTGAATGTGGTTAAATGTGAAGTGACAGAAGTTAGAAAAGAAGTTATTGTAGGTGAGATATTCTAGTCCTGATGCTAACACTTAACGATGATTTTGTTTCTTCTAGTGTAGATAATTCAATTGAACTAAGTTCGTCAACATAGAATCAGTAGCCGACTTCATAGTAGTTACTATAATGCTAGTTTCGAATTTGGGAAGTTAGAAAAGAAGTTATTGTAGGTGAGACGTTTATTGCTGATGTAACACCTGACGATGATTTTGTTTCTTCTACTATAGATTCAATTGCACTAAATTGTGTCGATATAGATTCAGTTGTGGACTTCACAGTAGTTACAGCAATGCTGGTTTCCAACTGTGATACCGATATACTAGAAGGACTTTCCGAAGTGAATGTGATTAAATGTGAAGTGACGGAAGTTAGAGAGGAAGTTATTGTAGGTGAGACGTTTAGTGCTGATGTAACACCTGACGATTTTGTTTCTCCTACTGTAGATTCAATTGCACTAAGTTGTGTCGACATAGATTCAGTTGCGGACTTCACAGTAGTTACAGTAATGCTGGTTTCCAACTGTGATACTGATATACTAGAAGAACTTTCCGAAGTGAATGTGATTAAAGGTGAAGTGACAGAAGTTAGAAAAGAAGTTATTGTAGGTGAGACGTTTATTGCTGATGTAACACCTGACGATGATTTTGTTTCTTCTACTGTAGATTCAATTGCACTAAGTTGTGTCGACATAGATTCAGTTGCGGACTTCACTGTAGTTACAGTAATGCTAGTTTCCAACTGTGACACTGATATATTAGGAGGACTTTCCGAAGTGAATGTGATTAAATGTGAAGTGACAGAAGTTAGAAAAGAAGTTGTTGTAGGTGAGATATCTAGTCCTGTTGCAACACTTAACGATGATTTTGTTTCTTCTAGTGTAGATAATTCAATTGCACTAAGTTCTGTCAACATAGAATCAGTAGCCGACTTCATAGTAGTTACTATAATGCTAGTTTCGAATTGTGAAGTTAGTAAAGAAGTTACAGTAGGTGAGGTATGTGGTGGAAATGTAACACTTAACCATGATTTTGTTTCTTCTACTGTAGATTCAATTGCACTAAGTTGTGTCGACATAGATTCAGTTGCGGACTTCACAGTAGTTACAGTAATGCTGGTTTCCAACTGTGATTAGATAAACTAGAGGAATAATTCCGACGTGAATGTGATAAAGTTGAAGTGACAGAAGTTAGAGACAAGTTATTGTGTGAGACGTTTAGATGCGTGTAATCGACTTAACGGATGATTGATATTTCTTCTACTGTAGATTCAATTGCACTAAGTTGTGTCGACATAGATTCAGTTGCGGACTTCACAGTAGTTACAGCAATGCTGGTTTCCAACTGTGATACCGATATACTAGAAGGACTTTCCGAAGTGAATGTGATTAAAGGTGAAGTGACAGAAGTTAGAGAAGAAGTTGTTGTAGGTGAGACGTTTAGTGCTGATGTAACACTTAACGATGATTTTGTTTCTTCTACTGTAGATTCAATTGCACTAAGTTGTGTCGACATAGATTCAGTTGCGGACTTCACAGTAGTTACAGTAATGCTAGTTTCCAACTGTGATACTGATATATTAGGAGGACTTTCCGAAGTGAATGTGATTAAAGGTGAAGTGACAGAGGTTAGAGAAGAAGTTATTGTAGGTGAGACATTTAGTGGCGATGTAAGACTTAACGATGATTTTGTTTCTTCTACTGTAGATTCAATTGCACTAAGTTCTCTCGACATAGATTGAGTTGTGGACTTCACAGTAGTTACAGTAATGCTAGTTTCCACCTGTGATACTGATATATTATGAGGATTTTCCGAAGTGAATGTGATTAAAGGTGAAATGACAGAGGTTAGAGAAGAAGTTATTGTAGGTGAGACATTTAGTGCTGATGAAACACCTGACGAAGATTTTGTGTCTTCTACTGTAGATTCAATTGCACTAAGTTGTGTCGACATAGATTCAGTTGCGGACTTCACAGTAGTTACAGTAATGCTAGTTTCCAACTGTGATATTGATATATTAGGAGGACTTTCCGAAGTGAATGTGATTAAATGTGAAATGACAGAGGTTGGAGAAGAAGTTATTGTAGGTGAGACATTTAGTGGTGATGTAAGACTTAACGATGATTTTGTTTCTTCTACTGTAGATAATTCAATTGCACTAAGTTCTGTCGACATAGACTCATTTACGGACTTCATAGTAGTTATAACAATGCTGGTTTCTAATTGTGAAGTTAGGAAAGAAGTTATTGTAGGTGAGATATGTGGTGGTGATGTAACACTTAACGATGATATTGTTTCTTCTACGGTAAGAACTTCATCTGCGCTAACTGTTTTGAGTACAGATTCAGTTGCGGACTTCATAGTAGTTACAGTCATGTTAGCTTCCAACTGTGATACCGATATACTAGTAGGACTTTCAGAAGTGAATGTGATTAAAGGTGAAGTGACAGAAGTTAGAAAATAAATTAGTGTATGTGAGATATTTAGTGCTGATGTAGCACTTAACGATGATTTTGTTTCTTCTACTGTAGATAATTCAATTGCACTAAGTTCTGTCGACATAGATTCAGTTGTGGACTTCATAGTAGTTACACTAATGCTGGTTTCCAACTGTGATGTTAGGAAAGAAGTTATTGTAGGTGAGATATGTGGTGGTGATGTAACAATTAACAATGATTTTGTTTCTTCTACGGTAAGAAATTGATCTGCGCTAACTGTTTTGAGTACAGATTCAGTAACGAGCTTCATAGTAGTTACAGTAATGCTAGTTTCCAACAGTGATACCGATATACTAGGAGGACTTTCAGAAGTGAATGTGATTAAAGATAAAGTCACGGAGGTTAGAAAAGAAGTTATTGTAGGTGAGATCTTTAGTGGTGATGTAGATTCAATTGCACTAAGTTCTGTCGACATAGATTCAGTTGCGGACTTTATAGTAGTTACAATAATGTTGATTTTAAACTGTGATACTGATATATTAGGATGGGTTTCGGAAGTAAATGTAATGAAAGATGAAGTGACGGCAGTCAGGAAGGTAGTTATTGTGGGTAATATGTCCGGTGATGGTGTTGTAACAAGTGAAGTTCTTTCTTCTTCAACAGTAGTTGACACAAACGAACTAAATATTTTTAGTAAAGTCTCAGTTGCAGGTTTCGTAGTAGTTACATGAAACGTAGGTAATGGTGTAGTGCAGGGTGATGTTTTTGTTTCGGAGATCGGAGATAATAGAATAATTTTAGTTAGAGTTGTCAAATTTAGCATCCTTGTTAGGCGTTTTGTTTCCATAACAATTTCAAAGTCCAGCGCACCCGTTTCTTTCTCTTCCTCTACCGATGTAATAGTTGATGGTGATATTACTGAAGTCAAGAACGAAGTCACTGCAATTGTAATATCCGGTGGTGATGTGGTGCTTGAAGGTGTTGTTGTTTCTTTTTCTTTGATAGATAAGGTTATGCTATGTGTACTTGACCAAAGAAAAGGTCTTCTTGTAAACTGTACAGCCTTTGTGAAGCTTTTTGTTTCTTTAACTTCAAATTCCAGCACTCCCTTTTTTTCTGTTTCTGTATTAGTTGATGTAAGTGTTTCAGTTGTTTTCACGGAAAACGGTGAGGTTGTTTTAGTCGAACTTCTTGCACTTTTTTTAGACGATCTTCTGAATGTAGATTTTTTTGAAGATTTATGTACAGGTGTTTGAATTTTGGTTGTTGATGTTTCGTTTTGCGTAGGCTTATCCGGTTTTTCTTTACGCCATTTCCGTGTTATTTTATGTATTATTTCTATTAAGTTGCCCAACAATTTTATAGGAGTTTGCGGCATATTTTTAGGAACCATCAACTCTACTTTACCTATTTCATCTACATATTCACTTAAAAATTGTTGATTTTGAAGATATGTTCCTTTAGTCAATGATACATTTGTACTTAAACTCCAAATATTGATTAGTAAGAAAAATATTGAATAATTTTTCATTTTGTTGCAGAAAATATCAGATTCTACTAATTATGAGTACCTTTTGAAATCAAGTTATTTTTCCATATATATTCATATATGTTTTTATGAAATTTAATTATTTGACATTCCAAAATTTACAGCTTTTGGATGAAATGTTTATAAAATATTTTTTGTTTATATGTGCACTATGATTTTTTATTAAAAAAACTTTAGATATTAAGTTAATATATATAGTTGTTTAAAAATTAATTCTTTGATCTAGCAGTATTATCCTCCATTTATGACAAAGTCATGATTTCATTCATTGTTTTTTAAACTGTAGTTATACTTTCTATTGAAAAGAAATTTTAAACTGTTGAAGTCAAAATTTAAATGATACTATATATGAGTATAATTTATAAGTTAATTTTATATGTATATGCACACAATTACAAAAACTTAAAGCAAACATTATAAGCACTGATAACCAGTTAACTCTGGATGAAGCATTCGTAGTGTCAGAATATTTTAATATTAATGGATTGGTTAAAAATGTTTTCAATCAGCGTACCTGAAATCTGTAATTAATTAAAATCGCGATTATACTGAAGTTTTGCAGAAGTAATATAATAAGTAACATTGCTTCAATCAAAGTCAAGTTTTGAGTATAAAAAATTAACAACTTTTTAATGAACTATAGTTTATTCTTTTGCGCAATATTTCCACTATTGTTTATGTTGTAGATATTTAGAGTCCTTCCTCAACAACATATAAATCTGTTAAAAGTTACGCCCGAAACACGATGATAAGAAGCAGTTTTACATCAAACTATTGTTTACATGTTTTATATAATGTTAATAGATGATAACATATTTTTTTAATTAATTTATGTTAATGATGTATGATTAATATAAATTAAAATGATATTTTTAAACGGATATCTGATGTATGAATAATATCAATAAACATAATAAAATACATTAATCAAATGTTAGAAATGAGCAGAGTTTCGAATCCGAATTTGGAAATCGTTTTCTAGAATGTTATCGGTTTTCAGTTCAATCTAGAGCGAATTCATTTTACGTATATGTATAAAATAGTATTTTTTCATGTTCAAATTTTTTTTATTCATTCTTTCAGAAAAACATGGTTAACGAATTAATTTAACAAAAAAACACACTTCTACTTTATTGTATGTTCTTGAATATTTTATTATCTTTAATATGAGAGGAACGCACAAGAATCAATATGAATCGAAGGGTTCGGTGCTAGATAGAGCCAAACCCCTGCATTTTTTGTTGATCGGTTCTGGGTTTCTTTCTGAAATATTAGCCATAATTTTTTTTTTTGAGTTGTAAAAAAACAACATTAAAACTGGTTGAAACAAATTGGCATCACTTTTAAAATATTTCAAATGCTTGTTTTTGATATATGTTTTTTGTTTCGAAAAAAAAAGAAATCAAAATGAATATTAGAATGACAATCGTAAGCATTTTTATCTTGTACATATATTTAAATTAATTAATTTATTTACGTATTGGAACTTATTCTGAAATGAAATGCTTATATGATTTTAACGGATGACTGAAATTTTGCAACATATTTCCAGCGAACATTCAAAATAGACTGATTTTTCAATTTGGCTGCACTGAAACTTAAGACGTAAAATATTTTGCGAGTAAGACCAAACTTTGAAGATTTTTAGAACATTGTTATTGCTTCACATATTTTCTTTCGTAAGTGTCGAGTATTTTTTTTGCTACTCTGATAGAAAAAATTATCAAAAAAAAAAAATAACAATAACTTTTTTCATTATTTTGAAGGGTTTCAAAAAATTTATTATATTCTTTTGAGTAATTAGTGACTAACAATAAGTAATTAAATAATAGAATTTTGTATATGGGAAAATGGCTATTTTCAATGTCATATAATAGCCAATGTTACTATCAATTAAAAGGAATGCCTATGAGATCCACCATCTTACCAATCATTGCCGATATTCATTGTCATATTAACTATTTATTATGTGCACATATGCAAGATTTGATGTTTGCAAAACAGATTGTAACAGTGATGCCAATGTTTCGCTCAGCAAATATAGGCCAGCATGCGTTTTTTGCCACACTTGCGAACCACCGAAAACGCCTAATATTAAAATAAAATTGTGTTGGTTCTAAAAAACATATTCTTCAGGAAAACTTATAATTTATATTCCAAACATGGTATGGTCATAATTACAGAAAAAATTTCATAAACGAAAAGAAAACCTTAATTATAGTTGCAATTGAGAGATGAAAGTTATTCATTATTTGAGTGATAAAAATTGAAAATTGACATCAGAAATGTGTAATGCAAATTTCTAAATGACACTTATTAATGGGATTCACACATCCCATTAAAAAATATGGTGTATTTGAAATTGATATGGAGATATTGGTATATGATATTAATATTGGTATATGGGTCATTCTTTTACAACTCGGTCACCTTTTTGACCCCATGATCTCCGATTTGACTGAAATTTTTTTTATGAGCTCCTTTCATAAAATAAAAAGACTCGTATCTCGGGAAAAAATTTTGTGATTTTTTTTCTAGGAGATATAGACCCATGGGATTTTAAGAACTGGCATAGTAGACACATTTTCAAATGGCTATATCTCAAGTTCTATAAGAGGTAGAAACTTGAAATTTACAGCGTTTCAAAGATAATTGATTGATTACCAAATTTTTATGTAGAATTTAATGATAAACTCAATTCAGGAATAAAAAGTAAAAGTTTTTGTATAGTTTTCCTTCGAAAATTGATTTCATGGTTCTTTGGTCCGTATGAGTAACGTGAAGGACACCTGATTAATTAATTTTTTTTAGTTACTTCTAAAATGAATATCACAGTCGAAATATTTATTTTTGAAGTAGAATTTATATATTAATTTGAATCAAAACTAAAAAAAAAAATTTTTGTGACATATGCCTTTTTTTTTTTTTACTGAAAAATCGTGTGTATGTGTTTGGTGTGATATGAAGGATAAATACATTTTTAAAAGTACTTCTAATTACAATATTGTCCTGAAATTTTTGGGTTTTATGTAGAATTTTATTACTAATCGAAATCAAAAATATTATATAAGAATATATGTAGTATATTCTTTGAAAATTCATTCAATGAAAATGTAATACGCATGTGCTTGATGTGTTTTGCGGGAGAAAAAATTTTGAAAACTTTTATATCATATATAATGGTAAAAACAGTAAAAAATAGTTTTGAAATTTTTAAAATCATTTCCATTTAAATTAGTATACTATTTGAATATATAAAACGCCATGGAAACTTTGTTAAATGACTAAAATACTTCTTTTTTCAAAACATTTGAAATCTAATATTGTTTCATATATATACTCATAAATGTAGATGTAATATTACAAGTTTATTTATTTCGGTTCCAAATTTTTTATATAAAAAATTAAACACCTAAGACGTTCGAATGCATGCGTTAAATACACATAAATATGTATAACAAACGACAAACTTAGTATAAGGTCTTGATCACAATATGGATTGAAAGATTTATCAACAAATAGCGTAGTTATACGCTATTATTTATATTTTTTTTAACGTATAGGACCTTTCAATCCAGAATGGATTCCGAATTATATTTGAGATATTTTATTCCTGCAGGCATACCACCATGATAGACAAAGTATATCTTACTTTATAAATCTACGACAATTCTTTAATACAAATATAAGATCGCGTCTTCGGGAAGCCGGCGACAAGGATATACAATTATTAATACTATTTGACAGTACCCAAAAACAAATAAAAACCGATGAAATTATTGATTTCAGATAATTAAAATAATATATTATACAGGGTTTTATAAACAATGATCACTAAAATTTTATTACAAGTATGAAATAATCAGCAAATATTTAAATCAGCATAATATTGACCAAAAGTGAAACGCCTCAGTTTCATGACGTTATACTCTCTCCACAAACTTTATAAACATTTCTCATATTTTAGTTCCTCTTCAACACTTAACAAATGCCAGTAACGAAGGACTAACAGTAACAATTTGAAAAGTAGATATTGTATATGGAGTATACATGCATAGCAGACAATGCTCGTATATCTATTGTACTAGTTTTACCAAAAGTGAAACTCCATTGTCATGGGTGTCAGCTGGGTAATGGTACAGTTTTCACAGACGCTAACAGGAACTCGCATCACAGTCACTAACTGCCTTATAACTTCATAATCATATTCTAGCTACTCTTCAATGGTAGATGAAGATACAGCAGTAATATATGATGACGTTGCAGATGAAAACTTTGCCATAGTTGTAACTGATACGTTTAAACTGAGTGTTTTCAGTACAGATTCAGGTGCAGACTTCGTAGTAGTTATTACCGCTGTTGGTGAAATTTGAGAACCGAAAGCGGTTTCTGATGTAAGCAAAGACATTGGTGAATATAATTGAGAAACAAATGTAGATGTAGCCACTGCCGAAATCATTGATAACGATGAAATATTTAGGGATCGCTCAGTTGTCTTACCCTTAGTTAACGCCGTTGAAATAAAAGGTTTAGAAATAAATACCGTAGATGACTTAATTGGCGTTTCCGGTAACCCCGTTATATTTGTAACTGAAAACCCAAAAGAGGTTTCTGATGTATACGAAATTATTGACGAAATTAAGGAAGTATCAGATGGTGATATTGTCTGCGTTGAAATTAATGATGACAATGTTTTATTAACAGAAGTCTCAGTTTCTTCAACTTGAGTTGTCGTTATTAAACTTGTTGATTTAGAAATAAATTCAGTCGACAACTCCAACAAGGATTTTGTTGAGACCGTTGTCAATGAAACCTGAGAACCGAAAGTGGTTTCTGATGTAAATGAAGACATTGGTGAATATAATAGAGAAACAAATGTAGACGTTGTCAATGCCGATCTCATTGATGACGTTGTAATATTTAGAGGTCGTTTAGTTTCTTCAACTTCAGTTAACGCTGTTGTAATAAGGACTTCAGAAAATTCCGTTGACGACTTAATTGATGTTTCTGGTAACCCCGTTATATTTGCACCTGAAGACCCAAAAGAGGTTTCTAATGTATACGAAAATATTGACGAAATTAAGGAAGTATCAGATGGTGATATTGTCTTCGTCGAAATTATCGCTGACAATGTTTTATTAACAGAAGTCTCAGTTTCTTCAACTTGAGTTGTCGTCATTAAACTTGTTGATTTAGAAATAAATTCAGTCGACAACTCCAATATGGATTCTGTTGTAAGAGTTGTTAGCAACTCCTGAGAACCGAAAGTGGTTTGCGATGTAAATGAAGACATTGGTGAATAAAATTGAGAATCAAATGTAGATGTTACTGCCGCAATCATTGATGACGTTGTAATATTTAGAGGTCGTTTAGTTTCTTCAACTTCAGTTAACGCTGTTGTAATAAGGGCTTCAGAAAATTCCGTTGACGATTTGATTGATGTTTCTGGTAACCTCGTTATATTTGCACCTGAAGACCCAAAAGAGGTTTCTGATGTATACAAAATTATTGGCGAATATAACGATGTATCAGAAGGTGATATTGTCTTCGTCGAAATTATCGCTGACAATGTTTTATTAACAGAAGTCTCAGTTTCTTCAACTTGAGTTGACGTCATTAAACTTGTTGATTTAGAAATAAATTCAGTCAACAACTCCAATATGGATTCTGTTGTAAGAGTTGTTAGCAACTCCTGAGAACCGAAAGTGGTTTGCGATGTAAATGAAGACATTGGTGAATATAATTGAGAAACAAATGCAGATGTTGTCACTGTCGAAATCATTGATGACGTTGTAATATTTAGAGATCGTTTAGTTTCTTCAACTTCAGTTAACGCTGTTGTAATGAGGACTTCAGAAAATTCCGTTGACGACTTAATTGATGTTTCTGGTAACCCCGTTATATTTGCACCTGAAGACCCAAAAGAGGTTACTAATGTATACGAAAATATTGACGAAATTAACGAAGAATCAGATGGTGATATTGTCTTCGTCGAAATTATTAATGACAATGTTTTATTAACAGAAGTATCAGTTTCTTCAACTTGAGTTGTCGTTATTAAACTTGTTGATTTAGAAATAAATTCAGTCGACAACTCCAATATGGATTCTGTTGTAAGAGTTGTTAGCAACTCCTGAGAACCGAAAGTGGTTTGCGATGTAAATAAAGACATTGGTGAATATAATTGAGAAACAAATGTAGATGTAGTCACTGCCGATCTCATTGATGACGATGTAATATTTAGAGGTCGTTTAGTTTCTTCAACTTCAGTTAACGCTGTTGTAATAAGGACTTCAGAAAATTCCGTTGACGACTTAATTGATGTTTCTGGTAACCTCGTTATATTTGCACCTGAAGACCCAAAAGAGGTTTCTAATGTATACGAAAATATTGGCGAAATTAACGAAGTATCAGATGGTGATATTGTCTTCGTCGAAATTATTAATGACAATGTTTTATTAACAGAAGTCTCAGTTTCTTCAACTTGAGTTGTCGTCATTAAACTTGTTGATTTAGAAATAAATTCAGTCGACAACTCCAATATGGATTCTGTTGTAAGAGTTGTTAGCAACTCCTGAGAACCGAAAGTGGTTTGCGATGTACGTGAAGACATTGGTGAATATAATTGAGAAACAAATGTAGATGTAGTTACTGCCGAAATCATTGATGACGTTGTAATATTTAGAGGTCGTTTAGTTTCTTCAACTTCAGTTAACGCTGTTGTAATAAGGACTTCAGAAAATTCCGTTGACGACTTAATTGATGTTTCTGGTAACCTCGTTATATTTGCACCTGAAGACCCAAAAGAGGTTACTAATGTATACGAAAATATTGACGAAATTAACGAAGAATCAGATGGTGATATTGTCTTTGTCGAAATTATTAATGACAATGTTTTATTAACAGAAGTCTCAGTTTCTTCAACTTGCGTTGTCGTCATTAAACTTGTTGATTTAGAAATAAATTCAGTCGACAACTCCAATATGGATTCTGTTGTAAGAGTTGTTAGCAACTCCTGAGAACCGAAAGTGGTTTGCGATGTAAATGAAGACATTGGTGAATAAACTTGAGAAACAAATGTAGATGTCACTGCCGAAATCATTGATGACGTTGTAATATTTAGAGGTCGTTTAGTTTCTTCAACTTCAGTTAACGCTGTTGTAATAAGGACTTCAGAAAATTCCGTTGACGACTTAATTGATGTTTCTGGTAACCTCGTTATATTTGCACCTGAAGACCCAAAAGAGGTTTCTAATGTATACGAAAATATTGGCGAAATTAAGAAAGTATCAGATGGTGATATTGTCTTCGTCGAAATTATTAATGACAATGTTTTATTAACAGAAGTCTCAGTTTCTTCAACTTGAGTTGCCGTCATTAAACTTGTTGATTTAGAAATAAATTCAGTCGACAACTCCAATATGGATTCTGTTGTAAGAGTTGTTAGCAACTCCTGAGAACCGAAAGTGGTTTGCGATGTAAATGAAGACATTGGTGAATAAAATTGAGAAACAAATGTAGATGTTGTCACTGCCGAAATCATTGATGACGTTGTAATATTTAGAGATCGTTTAGTTTCTTCAAATTCAGTTAACGCTGTTGTAATAAGGACTGCAGAAAATTCCGTTGAAGACTTAATTGATGTTTCTGGTAACCTCGTTATATTTGCAACTGAAGACCTAAAAGAGGTTTCTGATGTATACGAAAATATTGGCGAAATTAACGAAGAATCAGATGGTGATATTGTCTTCGTCGAAATTATTAATGACAATGTTTTATTAACAGAAGTATCAGTTTCTTCAACTTGAGTTGTCGTTATTAAACTTGTTGATTTAGAAATAAATTCAGTCGACAACTCCAATATGGATTCTGTTGTAAGATTTGTTAGCAACTCCTGAGAACCGAAAGTGGTTTGCGATGTAAATAAAGACATTGGTGAATATAATTGAGAAACAAATGTAGATGTAGTCACTGCCGATCTCATTGATGACGATGTAATATTCAGAGGTCGTTTAGTTTCTTCAACTTCAGTTAACGCTGTTTTAATAAGGACTTCAGAAAATTCCGTTGACGACTTAATTGATGTTTCTGGTAACCCCGTTATATATGCACCTGAAGACCCAAAAGAGGTTACTAATGTATACGAAAATATTGACGAAATTAACGAAGTATCAGATGGTGATATAGTCTTCGTCGAAATTATCGCTGACAATGTTTTATTAACAGAAGTCTCAGTTTCTTCAACTTGAGTTGTCGTCATTAAACTTGTTGATTTAGAAATAAATTCAGTCGACAACTCCAATATGGATTCTGTTGTAAGAGTTGTTAGCAACTCCTGAGAACCGAAAGTGGTTTGCGATGTAAATGAAGACATTGGTGAATAAAATTGAGAAACAAATGTAGATGTTGTCATTGCCGAAATCATTGATGACGTTGTAATATTTAGAGATCGTTTAGTTTCTTCAACTTCAGTTAACGCTGTTGTAATAAGGACTTCAGAAAATTCCGTTGAAGACTTAATTGATGTTTCTGGTAACCCCGTTATATTTGCACCTGAAGACCCAAAAGAGGTTTCTGATGTATACGAAAATATTGACGAAATTAAGGAAGTATCAGATGGTGATATTGTCTTCGTCGAAATTATCGCCGGCAATGTTTTATTAACAGAAGGTTCAGTTTCTTCAACTTGAGTTGACGTCATTAAACTTATTGATCTAGAGGTAAATTCAGTCGAAGACTCCAATACGGATTCTGTTGTACTAGTTTTCAGTGAAACTTGAGAACCAAAAGTAATTTTCGATGTAAGTGAAGACATTGGTGAATATAATTGAGAAACAAATGTAGATGTTGTCATTGCCGAAATCATTGATGACATTGTAATATTTAGAGTACGTTTAGTTTCTTCAACTTCAGTTAACGCTGTTGTAATAAAGACTTCAGAAAATTCCGTTGAAGACTTAATTGATGTTTCTGGTAACGCTGTTATATTTGCACCCGAAGACCCAAAAGAGGTTTCTAATGTATACGAAAATATTGACGAAATTAACGAACTATCAGATGGTGATTTTGTCTTCGTCGAAATTATTAATGACAATGTTTTATTAACAGAAGTCTCAGTTTCTTCAACTTGAATTGACGTCATTAAACTTGTTGATTTAGAAATAAATTCAGTCAACAACTCCAATATGGATTCTGTTGTAAGAGTTGTTAGCAACTCCTGAGAACCGAAAGTGGTTTGCGATGTAAATGAAGACATTGGTGAATAAAATTGAGAAACAAATGTAGATGTTGTCACTGCCGAAATCATTGATGACGTTGTAATATTTAGAGATCGTTTAGTTTCTTCAAATTCAGTTAACGCTGTTGTAATAAGGACTTCAGAAAATTCCGTTGAAGACTTAATTGATGTTTCTGGTAACCTCGTTATATTTGCAACTGAAGACCCAAAAGAGGTTTCTGATGTATACGAAAATATTGGCGAAATTAACGAAGAATCAGATGGTGATATTGTCTTCGTCGAAATTATTAATGACAATGTTTTATTAACAGAAGTATCAGTTTCTTCAACTTGAGTTGTCGTTATTAAACTTGTTGATTTAGAAATAAATTCAGTCGACAACTCCAATATGGATTCTGTTGTAAGAGTTGTTAGCAACTCCTGAGAACCGAAAGTGGTTTGCGATGTAAATGAAGACATTGGTGAATAAAATTGAGAAACAAATGTAGATGTTGTCACTGCCGAAATCATTGATGACGTTGTAATATTTAGAGGTCGTTTAGTTTCTTCAACTTCAGTTAACGCTCTTGTAATAAGGGCTTCAGAAAATTCCGTTGACGACTTAATTGATGTTTCTGGTAACCCCGTTATATTTGAAACTGAAGATCCAAAAGAGGTTTTTAATATATACGAAATTATTGGCGAATATAACAATGTATCCGTAGGTAATATAGTCTTTGTCGAAAATATCGCTGACAATGTTTTATTAACAGAAGTCTCAGTTTCTTCAACTTGAGTTGACGTCATTAAACTTATTGATTTAGAAATAGATTCAGTCGAAGACTTTGATATGGGTTCTGTTGTAACAGTTGTTAATGAAACCAGAGAACCGAAAGTGGTTTCCGATGTAAGTGAAGACATTGGTGAATATAATTGAGAAACAAATGTAGATGGTCTCACTGCCAAAATCATTGATGACGATGTGATATTTAGAGAAAGTTCAGTTTCTTCACCTTCAGTTAACGCTGTTGAAATAAAAGGTTCTGAAATAAATTCCGTTGAGTACTCCATCGATGTTTCTGGTAACCCCGTTATATTTGCAACTAAGGACCCAAACGATGTTCCATATGTATATGAAAATATTGGCGAATATAATGAAGTATCAATAGGTGATATAGTCTTCGTCGAAAATATCGCTGACAATGTTTCATTAACAGAAGTCTCAGTTTCTTCAACTTGAGTTGACGTCATTAAACTTATTGATCTAGAGGTAAATTCAGTCGAAGACTCCAATACGGATTCTGTTGTACCAGTTGTTAGTGAAACTTGAGAACTGAAAGTGGTTTCTGATGTGAATGAAACCGTTGGTGAATATAATAGAGAAACAAATGTACACGTTGTCAATGCCGATCTCATTGATGACGATGTTATATTTAGAGGACGCTTACTTTCTTCACCTTTACTTAACGCTGTTGAAATGAAAGGTTCTGAAATAAATTCCGTTGAGTACTCCATTGATGGTTCTGGTAACCCCGTTATATTTGAAACTGAAGACCCAAGCGATGTTCCGGATGTATATGAAATTATTGGCGAATATAATGAAGTATTAGTAGGTGATATAGTCCTCGTCGAAATTATCGCTGACAATGTTTTGTTAACAGAATGCTCAATTTCTTCAATTTGAGTTGACGTCATTAAACTTATTGATTTAGAAATAGATTCAGTCGAAGACTTTGATATGGGTTCTGTTGTAACAGTTGTTAATGAATCCAGAGAACCGAAAGTGGTTTCCGATGTAAGTGAAGACATTGGTGAATAAAATTGAAAAACAAATGTAGATGTTGTCACTGCCAAAATCATTGATGACAATGTGATATTTAGAGGAAGTTCAGTTTCTTCACCTTCAATTAACACTGTTGAAATAAAATGTTCTGAAATAAATTCCGTTGAGAACTCCATTGATGTTTCTCGTAACCTCGTTATATTTGAAACTGAAGACCCAAACGATGTTCCATATGTATATGAAAATATTTGCGAATATAATGAAGTATCAATAGGTGATATAGTCGTCGTCGGAAATATCGCTGACAATGTTTCATTAACAGAAATCTCAGTTTCTTCAACTCGAGTTGACGTCATTAAACTTATTGATTTAGAAATAAATTCAGTCGAAGACTCCAATGTAGATTCTGTTGTAACAGTTGTTAGTGAAACTTGAGAACCGAAAGTGGTTTCTGATGTGAATGAAACCGTTGGTGAATATAATAAAGAAACAAATGTAGACGCTGCCAATGATGGTGATGTGATATTTAGAGGACGTTCAGTTTCTTCACCTTCAATTAACGCCGTTGAAATAAAAGGTTCTGAAATAAATTCCGTTGAGTACTTCATTGATGTTTCTGGTAACCTCGTTATATTTGCAACTGAAGACCCAAGCAATGTTCCAGATGTATATGAAATTATTGGCGAATATAATGAAAAATTAGTAGGTGATATAGTCCTCTTCGAGATTATCGCTGACAATGTTATATTAACAGAAGTCTCAGTTTCTTCAACTTGAGTTGACGTCATTAAACTTATTGATTTAGAAATAAATTCAGTAGAAGACTCCAATGTAGATTCTGTTGTAACAGTTGTTAGTGAATCCAGAGAACCGAAAGAGGTTTCTGATGTAAATGAAAACATTGGTGCATATAATAAAGAAACAAATGTAGACGTTGCCAATGATGGCGATGTGATATTTAGAGGACGTTCAGTTTCTTCACCTTCAGTTAACACTGTTGAAATAAAAGGTTTAGAAATAAATTCCGTTGAGAACTCCATTGATGTTTCTAGTAACCCCGTTATATTTGAAACTGAAGACCCAAACGATGTTCCATATGTATATGAAAATATTGGCGAATATAATGAAGTATCAATAGGTGATAGAGTCGTCGTCGGAAATATCGCTGACAATGCTTCATTAACAGAAGTCTCAGTTTCTTCAACTCGAGTTGACGTCATTAAACTTATTGATTTAGGAATAAATTCAGTAGAAGACTCCAATGTAGATTCTGTTGTAACAGTTGTTAGTGAATCTTGAGAACCGAAAGTGGTTTCTGATGTAAATGAAAACATTGGTGAATATAATAAAGAAACAAGTGTAGACGTTGCCAATGATGGCGATGTGATATTTAGAGGACGTCCAGTTTCTTCACCTTCAATTAACGCTGTTGAAATAAAAGGTTCTGAAATAAATTCCGATGAGTACTTCATTGATGTTTCTGGTAACCTCATTATATTTGCAACTGAAGACCCAAGCAATGTTCCAGATGTATATGAAATTATTGGCGAATATAATGAAAAATTAGTAGGTGATATAGTCCTCTTCGAGATTATCGCTGACAATGTTATAATAACAGAAGTCTCAGTTTCTTCATCTTGAGATGATGTCATTAAACTTATTGATCTAGAGGTATGTTCAGTCGACGATCCCAATATGGATACTGTTGTAACCGAACTCAGTGAAATCTGAGACCCGAATGTGCTTTGCGATGTAAGTGAAGACATTGGGGAATATAATTGAGAAACAAATGTAGATGTTGTCAATGCCGAAACCATTGGTGACGACGTAACGTGTAAGGGTCGTAAAGTTTCTTCAACTTTAATTACCGCCGTTGAAGTAAGGGGTTCAAAAACAAATTTCATTGACGACTCCATTGATGTTTCTGCTAAGAATGTTTTATTTGAAATTGAAGTTTCGAAAGTACTCTTCGATGTGTGTGAAAATTTTGGCGAATATAATGAAATATCTGATGGTAGTATTGTCTCCGCCGTAGTTATTGCTGATAAGGTTTTATTAAGAATTGGCTTGATTTTTTTAACTTGTGTTGACTTTATTAAGTGAAGTGACTCAGAGATATATTCAATCGACGACTCTTTTAATGTTTCTGTTGTAACTGTCGTTAATATTATTGAAGCCGTCGTTTGGGATGTTGGGGTTTCTATATTTGTAGCGTATGTGCTTATGAATACCAATTCGTATAGTGTTGTGTTGAAAGTGGGTCTTTTTGTTTTCTTACGCTTTTTTTGTTTTACAATAGTTTTGTTACTTTTACTAAAATTTTCTTTCATATCGTTATTTTTCAGAGTTCGTTGATTATTTTTTGTGTATAGTTCTGTATGGGAAGTGCTGCTCTTGGGTCTTTTTGTTTTCTTACGCTTTTTTTGTTTTACAATAGTTTTGTTACTTTTACTAAAATTTTCTCTCATATCGTTATTTATCGAAGTTCGTTGATTAACTTTTGTGTATAGTTCTGTATGGGAAGTGCTGCTCTTGGGTCTTTTTGTTTTCCTACGCTTTTTTTGTTTTACAATAGTTTTGTTATCGTTATTAAAATTTTCTCCCATATCGTTATTATTTATCGGAGTTCGTTGATTATCTTTTGTGTGTAGTTCTGTATTGGAAGTGCTGCTCGTTGTTCTCCTACGCATTCGATGTCTTTTGTCTTGTACAATAGTGGGTTTACTGTGATTAAAACTTTCAGTCACATCACTGGTAGTTGTCCGTTTATTAGTTTGTTGATTATCTTGTGAGTCCCAATAAAGAGATGAAATTCCCCAATTTTCAATAAGTACATTTAATGCACTAAATGGTTCACGTAACTTATAAGGGATAATTAATTCTAGTTTTTCAATATAAGATATGTAAGAGTCAAATAATCCATTTGTTAAAGAAACGTTTATACTTAAGTTGCAGAGAGATATTAGTAAAATATATATATGTATTGAATAATTTTTCATAGTTGTACTTAAAACAATTTGAGAGTCCTTTAAATAAAACAAGTTAATTCTTTCGCCTGAATGCAGGTATAAAATAACAGTAAAAAATGTCATTAAACAGTTTGAAGTTTTAATATATCAGAAACAAAATTTTAATTTATTTAAATTTAAATAATCTCTACGAAAACTTTGTTATACAGGAAAACTTTGTATTGCACGGACATGGATAAAGCCGAAATAAAAAGACAGCATAAGTATACGAAATTTGAAAACAATTCTACAGTTTGCGACTAAACTAATTTCGATAATATTAAAACCGAAAAAAAATGCATATTCAAATTCAAATATAAGAAATGAGGTACATCTTCTACAATTTTCGGCAAAAGCTAATCTGATATCTCTAACACTATTTTGAACAGAAATAACTGCGTTTTTAACAATATTAAAAATATAGGCTTTGATGAATCGAAATTTGCTTAAAAATAGGTGTAGACAAGAAAAAAATTATCCAAGTACATTGACAAGGATGCAAACAATCTTAATAAACTTTGTTTGTTATATTTGTACCCAATTATAATATACATATGTATATATTTATATGAAAGCACCTCAGCTCTATGACCCCCTTCTTGCTACCACAGTTTAAAATGTAACAAATGGTAATGTAATAGTTAATCTAAGTATTATATTTAAAAGATTAATGTGATTATATACATAATTATATATAATTAAATTAAATTAAATTAAATTAAATTAAAATGTATTATACAATTATGTAATTGTTAATGTAAGGTATTATTAATGATATGGAAAAAAATCTAAATATTACGGGTATTCCTTTCAGTAATTTTTTAAAATAAATTGAGTTCGAATGCAAGAAAAGTAAAAGTATAAGTTAAATAAACCTTACTCAGTTATATACTATTAGGTTTACCCTGAAGTAAGACTAGGGAAATAGGTAACCTGCCCTGCACCTACCAACTTACGCCTATCCACAGAGTGTGTCCATATTTTCGTTTAATCTAAGCATCTTTACGAATATATGCATTTTGATGCATAAATGCTACTATATAGCGTCCACATTTTCATCTTATTCATTTGTTATGACAATATTATTGCCCGAAAATGTTTTCAATCATAATATATAAACTAATCTTAAATTTTTTATTTTAACATTTATAGTATAAAAAATTTTTCATCAAAACAACTTAAAATGTTGTCAAAATGATTTATAATTAAAACGAGAAAATAAACAAATAGTTTAATAAAAACATAAAAAATACTTTATTGCATATTTTACCAAATTAAAGAAATAAACCAATCGAGTGGTCAACGTACCTGAAAAAAAAAATAAATTCATATTAATATATCTATTATATTCTGTTATATAAATAATAAACTTTACTTTGTTATTTATAGTTATTTATTATTATATATTTTGTATATAGGATTTTGTATATATAATATATATATATAAGATATATATAATATATATATATATATTTGGTATATTTGTTTGGCAAATTATTATGCATAATTATAATTATAATTATATAATAATTATAATTATTATGCATAAATTATTATGTTCATGTATGATTTAATTAAAAAAATTTCATGAATTTTCAAAGTTATTTAATTTATATTTGCGAAATAACCCTGTACTGATGTTTGCCTACTGTTGCCATTCCATTTATGCGTCATGACATGGCCTTCTTTAACTGCCAATTGCTAACTCCTTTGCATATTGGTTAATCCTGGCTCTTAGTCCCTGTTTTTGGTAAAACAAACATTTTAATTTGTTTGTTTTTAAAGTTGTTAATATATTTGAATGGCTAAACAATCCTTAATATTCTCTCAACTCTTCATTTTCTTGTGTTTCTTGTGTAGTTTCGAAGATTTTTAAAAAAAATTTTTTCAAATACCTACTATTTCCTTTTATTTGTTTTGATCAAGACTTAAGTTACCGATAAGTTCATAGAGTTTTTAAGGTATATTTATAAAACAAGGTTGTAAAAATTTCTTTTACTATAAATATTCTATGTAAATATGTCAACATTTTTAACAAACCCAAATAAACTTTGGAGCGTAGCATCAAAGATTCACGAAATTCTGATTATTTATTCATATGGTATAGTGGCTTTGGTGACCGCAGTTTTGAAATTTTGAAACAAAAGGGGTGCTCATCGAAATTGATTAATGCCTTATAAAACTTATATATGTATAAGTTTATCTGCTTGGAAAATGAAGTATCAAATTTTGATACTTACATAAACTTGATCAATTTACACGAAAATTTGACCGAATAAATTTATATCGTATAAATTTATTTGTTGTTAATACAGAATTGCATACCAACACACGCAAATAATTTAGGTATTTTATTTTAAAATTTATTGATAACGACACAGCTGATCAAAAAAGTTTGCATAAATATTTAAAATTGCATCGATATTGGAAAAAAAATTGCGCTGCTGAACATTGTATTTTGTGCTGTCATAATTATTGCTAATATAAATAGTGCTATTATAAAGTAGATTGATAAATTTACACAAATATTTCACTAAATGCGTGGATATAACCGTGTAGGTAAACGCATAAAATTATGCATTTATGCATCCCTTATAACTAAAAAAAGTTATATTTATTTTTTTAAGGGAAAAAATAGTAATACTTCATCAGCAAGATGAGGCTAAATAGCGGTTTGATAAGTGTTATGGTAACTCTGCACCGGAGATATCAACTATTACGGACTGGTATGCTGAATTCAACGAGGTCGTCTGTAAACAATTGTACACGAAATTTTGAGACAACATGTTATAAGTCGATAAAAATTATGGTTAAATATTTTCCAGGGAAATTAATTTGCCTCAAAGAAAGACATGATTGCCTATTTGGAGAATGAAAACTAATTGTTTTACAAAAAATATGGAAAGGTAACAGTAGCGATGGAATAAATATATCTCACTTAAAAGAAGACACGTTCATCAACAAAATAAAACTTCTTAAAAACAATTATAAATTGTTATATAAATTTATTTAATAAATGAAAGGTGTTATTTTATAGAAAATAATATTAAAAGTAATGTATCTATTTTCTAACGAAGTTAATTTTTGGTAAACTCACCCATGAATACATATAATACAACTATAATAACAAACGCTACAATGATTTTCTTTACCTCTTATAGTGTCATAAATATTTACCTATGTTTTTACATCAGCATATAACATAAGTGCTAATACCGGAACAATAACAACAGCAATAAAAATAAAGTAAATAAGTGATTAATATATGAATGCAATGTGAATAGTTATTCAATAAATATTATTTATAATATAAATACGAGGGCGGTTTGATAAGTCAGTGACTTTTTGAATTTCCCGCGCAACAGTGCTGCCGTCAGCTGTATTCTACCAGTGGGCAAAGTTTTAATTTTGAACAAGCTACGTCGTTCAGTTGGTGTTTGATAACCGTTCAAAGCAGACAACCTCGTGAATTTTTACGAAAATAAAAAAAAATTTCGTGTGATGATTAAGCATTATTGGCCAAAATTCACGAACTGCTACCCCATCTAGCATACTCTCCAGATTTAGCCCCCTGCTACTATTTTCTATTTCGAAACCTAAAGAAATGGCTGGGCGGTAAGAGATTTGAGTCGAATGAAGAAATCATTACCGAAACAAATGCGTATTTTGAGAGCTTTGCGAAAACCTATTATTTGGAGTGAATAAGAAAATTAGAAAAACGCTGGACTAAATGTATCGAGCTAAAAGGTGATTATGTAGAAAAATAAATTGTTTATTTGCTGAAAAAAATTTGTTTTATTCAAAAAGTCACTGACTTATCAAACCGCCCTCGTATAAATAAATATATATAAGAACTAATAAAAAAACTTATGATAAAATTTTGATTTTTTAAATTAATTTCTGATATAGTACTGTATTAGAAAAAACTAAATAATTGCGTTATGCTTTCAGATTTTTTTCATATTGTAGAAGCTAATTTGCAATAATTAAAAAATATATCACAACAAAATGTAATGGCAATAGAAATATCACTGCCATGATGCAGCTACTTCTGTGGTTCATTGTCATCTTCGCTTGGTTAACTCCTCAGTGGGAGTGCAAGTGCCATTGAACTTTTTAATATTATATTTTAATTTCATCTCTACAGTTGAATTTCAAATTTTTTACACTTCAGTTTTTAGATTTCAAATTTTCAGCACACAAAAATTTTAAAGTGAAAAAAAAATTTTAAATCTTAGTTATCTTTTAGTTACTTTATCTGCATATTTGTTTAAATATGATAT